GCGACGCGATAGACATGATACCACATAGAGTCGAAATTCAATTCGTATTGGATCCTCATCGAAGCCTTTCGTCGTAACAACCTTGCTTCCAGTGCTCATGTTGGTTGTTCTCTATTCCCAGCCCATGATCCGCACCAGGCCGAGTCCGTGGCCCAGTCCATCCGTCCAACTCCAGGGTATACCATCCCATCCAGGATATCTCATGCCTGACCGTGTCCCCAAAACCTGTTCCTTCTACCAGGACCGTTGCACAAAGAAGATTCTCACAGTCATTCCCTCTTACACATTGCCTGCAAGGCGTCCATCGACGGGAGCCAACGACCTCGTCCTCGTGCGTCCCCTCGCGTGCGCGTCCTTGCCTCCGGCGCGCTCTTTCGCCTTGTTTTCCTTCCGCAGCCGCACCGCAGCCCGGATGTCTATCTTCTCCTCCTTTTCCTCCTCAATCGGCGAGCCGATCACTTTCGGCGCACTTTCCTCCTGGTTTATGGCCCCCAGGGCGGAAATCCTCTTCATCCCTCGTCGTCCCGGGCGCAAGGGTCTTCTCGTGGCAGACTCGCCGGCTGCTCGTCTGGCATCTTCTGGCATCTCGTCACGGACGGCGTCGTCCGTGGCGTATCCCTGCTCGTGCATGTTCGCGCCGAGCGTCAGTCTCCGACCGCTGCTAATGTCCGTCAGGACCGCGAGCGGCGCACTGCGGGAGTGGCGCATCGGGTGCACGGCCTGCGCAACGGGCGGCGCCGCGGGGATGCTGTCGAGGAGACCAGGCAGCTGGAGTCCGTCGCCTCCGTACCCCGTGTTTCGGAACAAAAGGCCCTGTTCGCGCTCGCCCATGTCTTCCTTCCGGCTGATGAAGGAATCGGCATCGACGTCGTCGTCCGAGGAAATGTGGTCGTCAATGTTAAAGTTGGCGTCGACCCGCACTGGCGATATAATGGGCGTATGCGCCGTGCTGTTGAGGGCCGTGTGGTACGAGCTCACGTCGTCAGGATTGCTGCCGCGAGACACGAGACTGCGGCTCACATTCTTCGGTGATATGACGGGCAGGTCGATCGACGTGTTCGGCGTGTGGCGAGACATTGGTCTCGTGTAGCGTATCGAGCTTGTGCTGGATATTGTGGGCGTGTTGGACGATACCGACCATTGGTTGAGGCTGCTGGTTCGGACTGGGATGCGCTCATAGATTTCGTCGAGCCTGATGCGTCCATGAAGAGGGCCAAGACTTTTCGCTCGCTGGTAACCGCCATCCATGCTTTTTTCCCGAGCGCGGACGGGTTGCTTGTATTCTGTGACGTGTCAACGTTATGATCAGGAACAGCATTCTGGGAGTTACTGACGAGACAAGGATACCGGAGGGTTGGCGGCGGTTGGAAGGTCATAACGATCAACCCAGTCATCGCTTTCATCTTGCGAATCGTATCCGTGATCGGTCTTGTGGTTTCGGGAGTTGTTCAACCGCAGCGGTGAGACAAAGAGCGAGGCATCACTGGGCCTGGGATATTCGTCTCGATCCCCTGAGTAGTCGACGTGTCGAAATACCTCCCGAGTAGAATAGCGCATGTCGTTCGTCCTGCGACGGTGCGTCTTTTTACTCGTCTTCGAGCTGCTCGGCAGAGAATAATTCGTCTTCGCCAGCATGACCGAATCTCGTGCAAAAGGCGCAGACAGGGTTGGTGGTTCGGGTTGCATCAGCGGCAGCAGATGAGAGTAGATGCCCAGGCCGCTGCTTGTCGACGAGCGGAAACTGGAACGCTGCTCCTTGCTCACAAGCTGGTTAGCACTTCGCGTTGGTTTGTGCATGCTCTTGGGTCTCGGTGCCGTTTCTGTATAGGGCGATGTTGGAGCAGAGGGAATGTATGAGCTTAGAGACTGCCTCCTATCCACACGGCTAGGCTGTGACATGTGGAGGCTGAGTCGTGAAGTGGAGAGCTCGTTTGTGCTTGGATACTCTGACGAGGATTGGAAAGGGGGATTCTGGAGGAGCGGATTGACCAAGTCATGGTGAGATGAGCGTCTAGTGGTGCTTCGAGGGTAATTGTACGGCGCTTGTGGCTGGAAAGGTCGTCCGTTGTCACCAAAGGTGCTCGTCCAGATGGGCGGAGGGTAGCTGTCTGGTGGCTCGCACGGATTGGTTCCTGTCAGGGCATAGAAGGCTTGGGCCTGTGGTGAGGTCAAATCGAAGCTATTCTCGCCGAGGTTTCTGTCGGCAACATCCTCGCCGTAGTCTCTTGCACCTTCGGCCTTGATCCTCGTCTGAAAATGCAGAGGCACATACTGCGACTGCGCGTCTACCAGGTCAACATAGCCCTTGCCCGTGTTCATGGTGAGAAGAGAATTGGTTCGAACACGAGAGAAGGGGGCACATGGCGCTTGCAGATTGTTGTGCAGTGACGGACCAGACAAGTGTTTCGAGCTGATCAGGGGCGTCTTGTTTGAATACGTCGAGTCCGTTCTGGGTTTCCGGAAAGATACAGGGGGCGCTTTCATGAGAGAGTTTCTCCTTCTTTGGAGACTTGGCTTTGCCAGGCTTGCTGGGACGTTGGGGGCAGTTCTTGGCCTCTCAAAGTCAACATCTCGAAAGCGTGGCACAAATGGTGCGGGTGCACCACCATCCGAATCACTATCCAGGGATGGCAAGCGTGGCTGGGGCTGGGGCTGCTGGCGAGGCCGTTGCAGGCGCTCGCGGGATGCTGCTGCTGCTCTATTTCTGATCATTGGATACGTCCCTGGTCATTATAAGTCAACATGAGAACGAGGCCTGTAGGGAAGAGTGATATAAGGTACCTCGGACAGGCGGTGACGACGGCGTCGTAGCATGGTAGGCCTGGCCTTGAAGGGTGGAAGATGGTCGTGACGCCCTTTCGAACGATTTTCGCGAAGAAAGAAAGCTGAGAAGACCCATGATGACGAAGGTCTACCAGCCCATGTGGCCGTGGCGGCGAAGTCCAAGCAACAAACGAACAGTACTCGAGTACGCTTCTGGGTGGTTTGTCTATTCGTTGAGTTGGCAACCTTGCTGCGCCGACACAGCAGCCAGCGCAATGGGGGTTTCGAGCAGCAGTGTCTGGATGTTGCAGGAGACAACGGGTCCCCAAAAAAGGTGGGAGGGGAAGGGGTCTTCAGCAACCAGGAGAGACAGTAGTTCAGACGGGAGGGGTGGGTATGAATCGCACATGGGGTAGAGTACGAGGGGCTAGGGCGACCCGGTGCCGTGTCTCTGTAGGAAGTAGGAAGTAGGCTAGGAAGTAGACTCGGAAGTAGACTCGGGCTCTTGCGTTGTACAGATCGGTACAGTAGAGATCCTGGCGAGGACTAGTACAGGTTTGGTTTAAGGCTGAGGAGGTCGTCATGGACTCGAAGGCAAAAGTGCCGTCGGTCGCACGGGGGATGATTTCCACAACCAAAAGAAGAATCGTTCATCAAACCAGAAAGAGGCAGCAAGTCGTCACAAACCATGCAAGTCGGGGCGTATCAGTCGGGGCGTAACAGTCGGGGCGTATCAGTCGGGGCGTATCAAAATGCGTACGGATAAAGGAAAGGCATGCCGCCATGAAGGGGGAAGAGGGAACTGTGCGGCACAAGCAATGCATCCCGTTCCTGGGAAAGAAAGGATGCGCAGTCATGACGGGCTCCACGGGAGGAAAATCTGCAAGCCGGGTTCTTTGTCCGCCGCCCGACGCTCTTCTGCCGTTTGCAGGAAAGTGGGCGAGGCGACGACCAAAGATAACCTTGCAAGGTGAAATGCTTCTTCTGGCTGGCACAAGCATTCGAATTGAACGTGCCTCTCGCACCTCATCGCCTCATCGCCTCATCGTCTCATCGCCTCATCGCCTCATCGACCAATGCGGAGCAAGCCAGACATAAGGGGAGCGGGCCAGAGCGTGTGAGCGGACCTCCGAGTCGAGCTTCTCCACGGTAAAGCGACGTCTGGTTCCTGTTTCTTTCTTGGTGCTCAGACAGGAACAGACCTCCACTGCCACGTTTCGACGACAGGTAGTGGTGGGAAACCAGGCATGTTGGGGGGCAGGTGGACGGCCGACGATTCAGGACCAGAGGCTAAACAGAGACCATGCCGTGTAAGGCGGCCGTGCGAGGGGTGGAGGGCGGGACAAAGAAGCCAGATGTACTCCGTATGCTACCTTCAGCTGGCCGACGGCTGGGCTGTCGCTCGTTCTGGGCCAAACGCATTGGGCCAAACGCGCGCACGTCGTCATATTGGATGTCGTCCCTGCGTCTCTCCATGCGTTGGTCTCTGCGCATGTTGGAAATTAGGGCAATCGGCTATCGGCCGATGGTCGACAGGGCGTTGGCATCGACCAAGGCCACTCCATAGTACAGGTACGTATCTGTAAAGAAATCGCAGCCCGGGATTGTCCCTGTTGAGCGATGCAAAGAAGCAAGTCAGTGCGACAGATGGCGGATGCGTCGAGCCAGTCAGATGCTTGAGACGGCACAAACATGATCCAGGAGGCTTGGAGAGATCGGAGCAGAGCGAGCAGGCCGACAAATGACCAGGGGACCACCTACAGCAGCCAAACAGCCAGAGCAAAGGGAGCGCGCCAGCTGAAGGACCCAGGCCCATTTGCCAGTACTAATTTCTTTTTTCTTCCGGTCTCAGATGTAGCGGCTGAAGCTAGAGACGTAGCGCGACGACGAAGACAGCAGCGGTTCCCCAATCATGTGCCGGATCCTCGTTAGTGCTTGCGACTGTTGCTTTTGCGGAGCGATGCATCCCGGGAGGTTGCTAAGCCTTGACCTGGGCCATGAGGTGATGGGAGGGCCGCTATGGAATGGAGCTGGGCCTCGGTTGGAGTCAGACAAGACACGCTGAGGGACCAAAAGGTAGGTGCATCGTGCTCGTGGAGAAGAGCAGTGTGTTCCTGCAGTGGTGCCGACCGGCGTGTGGCGATGGTGCATGTCGGCGAGATGAAGAAAGGTCGGCTACGATGCACGTTACTGCAGGGAGCTACTTAGTACTGTAGGCAGGTTGCGCATGTGCCGTTCGTCAGTCGATGTGTCGCGTCTGCCTGCATCTCTCTGCAGGAGACAGACCACGGGGCTGCTGCTGCAGAAAGGGTTGTGTCCGCCAGCCACCCCACGGTAGTATTGCTTGCTTTGTTTCTTTTGGGATTTTGCTCAGCCTTCAAAGGGGTCAATCGATCACTGACAGTCGATGCAACGGTCGATGTCGTTGATCGCTTTGTTTCGTTTGCAGCTTTCTCCCGTACCTATATTGGGGGGGAGCGAGGGGGGCCTGGTCCTGGTCATTTCCCCCCCGCCTGTCAATCCTCCGAAATATCGACCCAGCTTTCGGTGACCCGTTGGAGTTCCGGATTGGCGATGATGCGCGGTGGGCGGCAGATCGCCCACAGCGCGCAGACAACCCCTCCACCCCCCCTGGTTCGTGTCTGTTGGCGGTCCCGGTCCCCCTGGTCTCAGCAACGGGCTGACCGTCAAGGAAATGAAATGAGCCTCGAAGGCGGCCGTCGGCAAGGTTTATGACGAACGATGGGCTTTTCGGTGGCTGCTGATAAGGAGATGCCGAGGAGTCAGCTGAAGGCTGTCGTTGCACCGCTGAGTCGAGAACCTGGGACGCCAGTGCAAGAGACAAGCGACGGTATTGGTCATTGCGCGACAAGGCCCGGCGGAGTCCAGCGGTACGGTCAGACTTGTCACGTTGACAGGCAGTCTATCAATACCACATTTGAGTTTGTTCCTTGCAGGACGCGAGCTGATTCGTCTAGCAAGGTGTGGTTACATTGCTTCGTTCCGAGACATGAGGGGTGATGCAGCAAACAGGGCGCTATGTCTCATGTACTTATCCGAGCGCATCACGGAGAGGCAACAGACGAAATTTCTAGGAAAGAATTGTCTCTAGATGCCCAGATTTTGAGGGATTTCACAAACATCCGAACTGGTGTAATGGCTAACATTTGACGCTCTCACCGTCAGGCTCAGGGTTCGATTCCCTGGTTCGGAACATGTGGTCACAACGGGTTCGCCCTAGTCCTTTTTGCATCCTTTCCCTTCTCTCCTCGTCGAACATGATGGGTTAGACTCGGTGTTTGATCAATAGGACCTGCAGTGATGGATGGCCTGGGATGTACGGTTTCGACAAGACTTTCCCTTGTGAATTGTGCGGTGTCGCTTTCATTACCAGATCTCTCTCAATTGACAATCGCTTCGCTTGCTGCTTGCTTATGATCGTTGAGGTCTGCCGTACAGCAGCCCACTGCTGTTGATTATTCCGACTCAAGTTGAGTTCTGCCCGGGTGTCCATGCCTCACTCTCTCCTCTTGCCCGTTATTTCCCATTCCCCTTCCTCTCAAGCCCGTCTTCCGCCGAGCGTGTCTCGCAGTGCTTGATCTCTACACGAGATGGCGACGCGCTCAAAAGGCTGCAAGTTTCCAAATCTTGTCTCCATTCTCGAGGTTTGCATATTGATAGGCCTTGCTCTCGGGCGGAAAGGTGCCGCTCGCCGCCCACAGGTCCACGAGCCCCTGCATGGGCTCGAGATCTTCCTTCTTCAACAGGTCCAAGGCGGTTGCCGTCAGCACAAAGTGGCTGAAGCAGCTGTTGAGTTGCTTCTCCAGGTTGAGGTGGTAGAGCGGGTCGACGAAGTGGTTGTGATAGAGATGCGCGTACACACGGAACATCTGGAGGAAAATGGTCCGACACACGCCGGCGAACTCCTTGGGGAAGCCGCTGCGGCGACCGACCCAGTCCTCGTCCGGAGGAGAGCCGGCGTCCGAAGCAGGGTCAGCCAGCGAGGACGTGCTGGAGCTGCTGGTCAGAGAGGGGTTGGGCGCGTAGGAGACGCCGTTGGGATCGGTAGGGAAGAGGTTCGTGTCGTTGATCTTGCCGCCGATCCAGCGCTGCATCAAGGTCATGTACTCGTGTGCAGGGAGCTCAACGGGCTGGTAGCGGTTGTTGAGCCAGGTGTAGGAGTGGTTCCTGGACGGGGGTCAGTACTGGTGATGACTGGACGCCTTGTAGCAGGCGAGGTAGGAGGCATTCAACATACGGTCCTGCCGACATTTTGGGGCAGGTGTTGACATTGCAAATGGTGGTGCCGTCCTCCTCCTTCTCATGAATAACACGGACGAAGTTCCAAAGATTACGGTAGTGCTCGACGACTGAGAACAGGTTAATGAGGATAAGATACGGTGAACGCGCTCCACAGACGACTGACCGTGGTGTGCTATCCACTCGCCCTGCTCGACAGTCTTTGGTCTCGCACTCAGGGTCATGAGGTTGCCCTTGACAATTTGCCGCGAATATGCGGGGTTGAGCCACACCGGCAACATCTCCGAGGTGGAAGAAGTTGACATGATGGCGGTTGGTGGAGGGCCACGTCTTAAAGGGCGAGACTTATTCCTCTATGATATCAGAGGGCTCAGATGAGACACAGCAGTCTAAGCTGGGTATGGCTGGTGAGATGCTGGCAGTGGTTGTGTTCGCTCTCAAGAGTCGCTGCCCTTACTTGCCCGGCGGTCGGTGCCTCCACAGAGGTCACGGACGAATGAAAGACGGGGTTGAAGACTGCACCGGCCGGTACGTGACACGTGATACGTTGTGAGTATCCGGTTTCTTTGCGAAGAAAAGACGGGCGTCGTTGGAAATAGTAACCAGATTGCGAGAACTGCTTAGGCCAGGTCAGGTTCAGCGGGTTGGCTCTCTGGTGCGGGAGCGGGAGCGGGAGCCAGAGGTCCATGGGAACGTGCGCGGGGTACTCTGGTGGCGGTGAATCAAGGTGAAACAAGACATTACTCCACGCCAAGGGCCTTAACCTCAACGCCATGAAAAGCTACTCTTGCAGCTTCACGGTTTGCTCTGCATTGGTGGATAGAGAGCCAATTTTGGGCTCTTGACGTATTCGTTTTTACATCAATCCTTTCCCTTCACATGTAGCGTCCCTACCTCTACCAGTCCATGCCTGCCTAGGTACCTTACCTGACAACCCAAGGTAGGTAGATCGTACGCGCCCTGAGTTGCCACTCTACGCCGCCATCGTTCGGCACGTCGCCTGCCATCGCTGCTTGACGGCAGGGAGGCTGGTTGGTCACCAGATGTCGCCCGGCAAGTACCGACTGTTCAATGGCGAACTGGCGGACCTCGCTGCTCGGAATACAATGGAAAGAGCGCGGGTGGGAAGGCCCGGGTGGGAAGGTCCTTCTGGCCACTTTGAGGTTTCCACGAGAGTCCGCCTGCCTCTTTCCTTCTCATGTTCCCATGTGCTCTTGTGAAATGATTGAGAGTGGCGGTTTGACATGCTCTTGATCGCTTTGGAAGTCACATTGGGTCGAGTCCTGGAACCATTCCCAGGCAGCTTTGACGTCCTTCAGATCCGCAGGTAGTGACCCCGACGAAGACTGACACCCTTGGTGCTTCCTTCTCCCAGCTTCATCGTACACAAGTGCATAGGTCCACTTGCTGCAAATGCGTTTTGCTGTGGCAGTCCACCTTGTTGGATACATCGTCCTTAAAATTCGCCAACTCTTGAGCATCTCCCTCGTACCATATGAATATCTACTTCGTGGGGCACCAGCTTTTGATATCACCCTGTTCTCCATCTCCATGGCTCAACCAGAGTGCACTCTCTCGCCGCCGGCATCCATCCACGAAGACCAAGCTAGAGGCCAACTGGACATACTTGCTCTCGAGTGCACACTCTCCCCTCCTCCATCTTTACACAACGTACCGATCGATACTCCCAAGGGAAAATCAACGGCTAAACCGACAGTGACCTTCGACCTCACACCTCCGGACCCGGCGGGTCTGAAGTCCCAGCAGCCAACACGTGTCCAACCCCCGAACTCCTGGCCCGAGAAGGTTGTTCCAGAGGCACACCCCCAACCGCAAGGGGGATCCAACCCGTCAGGTTCGAAAGCCCGGCCAGACAGCATCAGCGAAAGCATCAACAGCACAAAGCTCCCGACGCGCAAGTCCTTCGACAAGTCTGCCGCATACGTCAACAAGCAGGCCCAAGATATCAAGGCCAAGCTGAACAGCAATGAACGGAAGCCCGTTCCCCAGCCCAACCCAGCCCCGGCTCCAGCCGAGAAGCCCTCTGAGAACCCCGTCCGCAGCAGAAAACCCGCAGACACGAACCAAGTATCCCCCCCAGTCGCGGACGACAGCCCAAAGCTCCCAGACAGGCCCCAGCCGCCCCTCAAGCAGCGCATCCGCGATGCCCACAACCAGCGAAAAGAGCGGCGTGCCGACATGTCTCCATCGGGAAAGCTCAAAGACATTACAGAGAATATGCTCATCGGCTGCGGAATCGGCGCCATTGTCCTGCTCATCTGCGGACCATGCGGCATCTTTTGATGAGGGGCATTTGAAGGGGTCTCATCAATCTCACGTGTCTACGGAAGCAGTCGAGACACCCAAGCCGGCTGCCGAGACTGAAGAGCCTACCACGACACCTAGTCCCATCAAGGATGTAGATGAGGAGGAAGATGAGGCCGCGCGGGTGCTGTATCAATTATGGCTTGCTTCAGGTTCCTAAACCCCACTACAGCTAAGGCGCCAACCGTAGCTCCTTGATGCCACATATTCCATAGACTGTATCATTGGCCCTAAAAGAATTCTCACTCGTTATTCATTCAATGCGTCGCCCGTTACTTTCTGTCCTCTGCAAGCCCTAATCAGTAGCCCCCGCCAGAGCAACGGCACTGAACCGCAAATCAGCTCCCTCCCGCTCGAGGAACTTGAGCGGGCCCAGCGTCAGCGCCTTGGTGCTCAAGACGTCCTCGCTCTCCTCGAGTTGGCCCCGCTGCAACGGGCCCTTTCTCCGTCCGTCGAGCTCCCAGAATGCCCCGTCGGTCGTCTTGACGAAGCAGACGTAGTGCAAATCAACGTCATCCGTGGCCTCGGGCGCCGACGTGTCGCCCTGTGACGCGGCGCTGCGGTGCGCGTTGGCGAGCGCCGTGCTCTGCTCCAGCAGCGCGGCGCGCTCGGCGGGGTGCAGGGGCAGGGCTTGCTGGAGGAGGGTGTCGAGGTCGGAGGAAGCCTCTGCTGCGCGTTAGCGGAATCTCTGTCAGATGCGGCGGAAGGGGTGAGGGGAAGCTGGGCTGGCTGGAACACGCGGGAGGACGGACCGATGTAGTCCCGCGCTGGCCCGTTGGCCACGGCGTGCAGAAGGCCCATGAGGCCGCAGGCGTTGCGGATGGTCTGGCGGAACCAGACGACGGGGGCGGTGTCGCCGTCGACACAAAGAGAGGAAGCTAGCAGGAGGAAGAAGAGATACTGGTGGGGACTCGTAGGTTGCTTACGTCAGTACTGAGCAGTTGCTGTAGGGCGTGACGTCTCTAATTAACGTCAGTATTGAGATGCAAGTAGAAGTTAGGAAGGAACGAGTAAGTAGGTAGTCAGTAGGAGTGTGATAGGAGAGTGAGCGTGCATGCCAGTCTGAACGATGCGTGTTCATGAGTTCGGCGTTCGGCCTCGAGAGGGGATGAAGGCTGGGGCCTGTTGAGGGCGGGTCGGGGTTGGGGGTGGCCATGCTGGGGCTGTTGGTCGTGGAGGCGTCTCGGTGATGCGAGGTCTTTCGGGCTGTGAGGTGTGACGCGGTAGAGGTCCGCGGGATTGATGCGAAGTGTTGGAGTTGCAGGAAAGCTTAGGGAGCTCTGAAGTTGAGCCCCGCGGTGTTAGATGGTGGGGTACGTCGGTAGCTGCCTTGGCCCCTGCAGCGGTGACGTTTTGCTTGGCCCTTGCCTGGCAGCCTACCATGCCTACCTAGTACTAGTAGAAGTAGAGATGGTGCCTCTCGTTCTGCCTGCCAGCTAGGTACCTATTTCAAGGTGAGAGGATCAAGGGGCCTTAGTGTTTAATTCTTTTCTAGCCGGCTTAGTGACTTTTCGTCTTGAGTTGATGGTTCTTCTTTGAGTTGTGTTTTGTACATGGCTTCGGATGGTCTCTTTTAACCAACAAGAAGCCCCCAGCCCATCTACGCTGTACATGATCGCAATGTGCATCCAGATGTCTTACACTGTTGTACACTCGGTCCATAATTCGGACTCTTGCCAGAAGCGCTTCGTATCTAGAGACGAGCCTCTTCCAGTTGCTCGTACTCTGTTTTGTCCTCCACAAGCGGCTCCTCATGTCCCGGTTCGTTCCACTTCCCAGCCCCCTCCTCACCAGCCATCGCGGCCCTCTCGTGTCCCTCGCCAAACACCCGCAGCTGCTCGCGCTCACGCTTGTCAATCTCCTTGCGCCGCTTCGCAAGCATCGCCTCATGCTGCCCGGCTCGGAACGACACGTTCGTGTCCAGGTGGTGCTCAATCTTGGCCTGCACGAGTTCCTTGACGTGGAACGCCAGCGCCTGGCTCGAGAAGACGTTGGGGAAGCGGTAGCTCAGCCAGAGGTAGAGCGTGACCGAGTGGTGGAGAACCTCGATGGCGCGGAGGTAACGGCGGCCGTCACCGTCAAAGTCGGCGATCGTCGCGTCGAGGATCTCCAAGTCAATTTCCTGCATGTCGTAGAGGGCACCGCCTTGGCGCGTGGCGAGACAGTTGGCGGCTGCCTGCACCAGGTGGACGACGCTGGGTTCGTTGAGCTGGACGGGGGCGTTGAGGATGGAGAGGCGTTCGTGAATGGTCAGAGGAAATTCCTGGATGATATCGGCTACGCGGAGAGCGTCGCTCGAAATATCGACCAGAAACATTGGCGACACCCTGGCCAGCTCACGGATGCGCAGCAGCATGAACGATAATGGCGTGTCAGGGGGCAGGTACTCTGAGAAGCGTTCTAGAATGAACGCCGGAGGGTTGATGTAAGCAGCCTCCAGTGGTTCGGCCTGCTGCGTGAATGCTTCTTGGACCCGAGGAAGATCAAGAGCGTCCAGTGTTGTAACGAGGCCTGGATTCTTCTTCTCCACCAAGGTCTCGGCGCCGTCAGCAGATATCGCTGCTTGGCGGGCTGACCTGAACCGGCCAGCGCGGCCGCCAATCTGCTTGATCTCCGACGTTGACAGACCACGGAAGTTCACGCCATCAAACTTGGCTGCTGTTTCGAAGATGATCCGCTTGACTTCCAAATTCAAGCCCATGCCAATGGCATCACTTGCCACTAAGAAGTCGTACTCGTTATCAGGGTCGTTAAAGAGGGCCGCTTGCTGGGCCCTCGTCTCAGGGGGGAGAGAACCATAGACAATGGCGCAACGTTTTCCAGTCTTTTCTTCGATGGCCTTCTTCAGACCGTGCAGGCCAACTCGGCTGAAGGCGACGACGGCATCACCCTTCTCCAGTTTGGACAAATCTCCCTTGAGACTTTTCTTCATGGTCTGAAGTGGACTTAGCCTCTCGTACCTGTGCACCACGCATTTGTCGCCGAGGGCGGAGCAAATAGACTTGACGAGGTCCACCGCCCGCTCTTCGCCGCAGAGATGGACCTCCTTAGCCATGACGCCGAGAAGAGCCTGTGTCCAGGCCCAACCGCGCTCCGGATCACCAATCATTTGGATCTCGTCGATGACAGCTACATCTACTAGACGGTTCAGCGGCGTCATCTCGACCGTGCAGCTGATGAAGTAGTTGTCGACACCCTCAGGAATCCGCTGCTCTTCGCCAGTGACCATGGCACATGGCTTTCCCTTCGCAGTGAAGCGAGCGTACACCTCGTGGGCCAGCAAACGCAAGGGACCGCCGTATATACCCGACTTGGCGTTTTCCAGCGCCTTGAGCGCATGGTATGTTTTGCCAGAGTTTGTCGGGCCCACGTGGAGATGTATTGTCCGCTGCAACGCTCTTGTTGCCGGGAACCATTCCATGGGGTAGCGGAAGTCGGCCATCTGCTTCTGTCTCTTCGTCACATCCGCCGACATGCGGCTCCGCATCATGAAGCTTTGGAAGGAGTATCGAATCTCCGACGTTAACCCCTTGACGTCCCCCCGGATGAAAGCGTCCCGCAACGACCAAAAGAGAGGATTTGTTGCCCTGGCGACGTTGCCGTTCGTAGCCATCACTATGGCATCGCTGATGGCCTTGCGAAAGAGGGCGGCTTCGTTTGCCAGTCCATGTTCACTGCGCACGCCGAAGCTCCGAAGTTCTTGGTTGGATTCGGACCAGTTGCCGAATTCGTCGAGAATATTGTTGAACTGTGTTATGACCATGGACCGGAAGACTTCGTATCGCTTCTTGTTCTTCGACGCACCGGCGCTGACACTGCCTTTCCTATTGTACACAGCGGCCTCCTGTCGCGAATTAGCAGCCATCGTTGAAGATCTCCAGCGCATACCACAACTCACCCGGAATGGCGCTCGGCAGGTGGTCGCAAAGCCATGGCGAAAGGCAGGTTTGCTGCACGTTGCACGCGTGGCAACGGCTCGCAAGACTGACTTCATGGCGGTTGAATGGGAGACTGACACCACATTTCCGAGACTCCGGTTCTTTGTCTTTTGAATTGGTTCGTTTCATACACACAGAGTCTGGAGTCGGGACACGTCCAGTCGCGATTCGCTTTTCCCTGGTCATAAATTTTGGATCTGTTAAGCATCTATCGAGAGCGCGCGCTATCGATAACTGCGTCATCAGGCTGGAGGAAGGGACTGCTCTGATTCAGTTAGTCAGCAGGCACTATAAAACGTACCCTGGGGGCGCGTTGGGCGACAAACTAAGCCAGTTACAACAACTCTTATCCACCTTAATACCATACGCTTTTTCAGGCTCAAGGAGAAAATGGGAATCAACAGAATAGATAAGTAATGGGGGTTCAAGTGTTGGTGTATTGGTTAAAGTGGCAGATACGAAAAAGGCATCTCCGGTGAACCTTCAATGGTGCATTCCCTTCCCCAGATGCATAACCCTATTGCATTGCATTCCCAGACCCATTCTCCCAAAGGCAGGCCAGAGTGGGTGGGGCTCGTGGTCCTGCGACATGCGTCTTGGCAAGCCAGCATCGGTAGGTCGTCATCACGCATTCGTCGTTCGCTGGCGCCATCACAACACCCACCTCGCCGCCCTTCTGCTGACAATCTAAGGTACCCAACAATCAACCTTTGCGCGTCTCTCAAGTGCAGTCACTGTTCCGCTCCAAGCGACAACTCTTTCCACGTTCCCGGGACCGACATACTGCACGCAAGCGTGCGACTTCTCACAAAGATGGCCTCCTCCTCATCACCAGCGACGCCGCTGCTTTAGTATGACAATCCTTAGTCCACTGACCCCCTCCCAGTCTGCTGACAACTCCAAGCTCCTGCATCGCGCACAACAATACTATTCTTACCGAATGCACAACTTCCGCTTCCTCCCAGACGTCGTCTCTAGCCTCCCTCATCCTCCCCAAGATCGAGCACTCGACCAGCCAAAAGCTGACCTACACCCACGGCACCCACCACATCCACTACATTGCCGAATCCCCGTCTGACCACCCCGACCACTCTTCATCCGGAGCAGGCGGCCTGACCTTCCTCGTCATCGCCGACGCCAGCCTGGGCCGCCGCATCCCCTTTGGCTTCCTCTTCGAGATCCGCCGCCGCTTCCTCGAGCGCCTGACGCCCGAGACGACCGACTACGCCGATCTCCCCAACTACGGCGCCGCATCCTTCAATGGCGAGCTCAAGAGCCTCATGGTCGAGTACGGCACCACGTCCGGCGGCAAGGACGACGCCATCAACAACGTCCAGCGCGAGATCGACGATGTGAGGGGCATCATGACGCGCAACATTGAGGGGCTCCTCGAGCGCGGCGAGCGCATCGACCTCCTCGTCGACAAGACGGATCGTCTGGGCGGCAGCGCGCGCGAGTTTCGCGTTCGCAGTCGGGGTCTGAAGAGGAAGATGTGGTGGAAGAACGTCAAGCTCATGGCGCTGCTGGCGCTCGTCATCGTCCTCATCCTGTCGGTCATAGTGATTGCCGTGCGGGGGTAAGGCGGGATGCTCGAAGAAGCGGGCTTGGGTTTTTTTTGGGGGGGGATCACAGTCACTTGGAATTTGGCAGCATGGCGATGACACGCTGAGAGTGTGTTTGTTTCGCGCTTGTAATATGGTACACTACCCTGGCCTCGTCGGCTCAATTGGCCCAACGAGGGTCGTTCTTCTCTTTTGTCAAGGCGCACTTTTCGACGGAAATCGAGTACCCCCAATTGCGCTTGTAGTCTCTCACAGACCTACGCTCATAGCTCCTATCTTCAGTAGCGCCAATAACATCCCAGCTGCACCTGGTGATTGGAGCATTGACTGTCGATTATACTGATTGTAACGGAATTTGGCGTTGATACAAAACGCCAAAGGGAATGGTTCTGACCGCTATGTAGCGTTGCTAGTATAAGATGCGTATACACCAAAATTTCATGTGCTGCTTCGTCCAGAGATTGCTTGAAAAACACCTTTCCCGTCGTTATCATCACCATTAACCGTCCAATATATGCCTGGATTGGCTGAAGTAGCTCAAGCTCCCAGACGCCCACCTTGGAATCAAGAGGCTGGTGCCAATGACTTTGATTTGACCTTGATGTCGAATAACTCGAGACTTTGTCCAAACAGGTGGCAAGGACTTCTTCCCGTAGGAGAAGTCAGCAACGGCTAGGCATGTGCCACGATATGCTCAGTCGCAGTCGCTCACTCTCAGAATCATCCCGTCGCTTTGCGCACACCCGCAAAGATGACTTTTCTTGCACGCTTGGATATATGATGAATGCGAAAGGCCAAGATCGCAAGAGGGTTGATGCCGTGAATTTCGCCACTCTCATCGTTGGGGCCTTCTGATGCTAGAACACTCCGTACATCCCGAAGTGAGATCTGCCTGGGTTTCCTACAGCTTCGGTACAGCATCGCTGTCAGCCCTCCCCGATTCGCGATAGATGTACCCTTGTGCGACAGGGCTGAAACTGCCTGTCCTTCCGAGAACAGTGGGCGGTCTTCGCAGCCTTTCCGAGAAGAAGACGGGGTGGCAGGTGGCAGGGTTGGGCTGCGGCGTGTGTCGCTCCCAGGCGGTCTGCAGGGAAGGCAGCGGTTGGGCCTGTGGCTTGACAATGTTCATTTTGATAAGACGCAAGTGAAGCAGTCGCAGAGTTGGTTGTGATGGGCCGAGTAAACGATGCGATGATATAAATTCGCGACAGCTGCTTCCTAGATGTGACGGAGAGGAAAGCCAGGTTGGTACATTGAGAGAGCAATGCCGAGGTCTGCCTCTCTTCGTGTCGGGCTTGTGTCGTCATTTCCGCAACGGTCCATCGCCGGATGTGGGGCTTGTAACTCTTGGCCACCTCAGATTCAACCTCTCTGATGATCCGTAGTTGTTGAAGACGATGGTTGGTTGCATCTTGGTAAAAAGCTTGGGTTCTCAATCAAGTGCTTTTTTTTTAACTTCAAATAAGGGAAACCGGTGAGTTCTAGTCTCTGCAGGCGACTGTTGAATATACAAGTCGTTGTCCTCAAGTTGTATCCTATGCTCTCGCGATTGCCATCAAGTCAAGCTTCAAGACATCTCACTGACGAAAGACCTGAAGATACTTTAGAGATTAGTCTCCTTTTCTTTTTTATATTTATCAGCAGCGGCGCCCGCTTGTTCCTCGCTCTCCTCGTCTTCCTCGTGGAACCCGGCGCGAAGGATCTGGAAACCAAGTCTTGACAGAGACTAAAGCTTCACGAGAGTATAGTTAGAGATAGAAGCGTGAAAAAAAAGAAAAGAAGAAATAAAACTACTCTGCAAGAGTGAATTACTTGAAGCTTGACTTACCGCTCTGACAAACCTTACTTCCCAAAGCAAAGGACGCGCAAAAATTAGACGCTGCGCCTTTGGCTTTGCTTGTGCACGGGACTCTTGCAAAACGACTTGTTTCCATGGTTCCTTGGAACAATTGAAATTTCACGGACCACACAGCACGATAATTCCATGACCCCTTTAAGTATACATTACTACGAGAGCAGGTGTTACTTTTGCCTCAAGACCGTAAGATAATGAAATCATAGTACGT